CCGGCAGCTTCAATCAATTTCGGTATTCTGGTGATACGGTAATTTCAGTGCATAATCATAAGGTAGACCGCTATATCCGCAAAGGCAGAATTTTTCATAAAGTGAATAAACATGCTGATAAATTATCACAACCGATAACCATTTATTCTAATACGAACTGGGATTTGCCTCTGACCATCCATTATAAACAGCATCCGGATGATGATGAAATGAATATCATGACTGAAAACTTCTTTGAAGATGGTAAGGGAAACCTGATTCTGGATAAGACAATTCATGTGAACCGATCACATCTGTTCTTTAAAATGGAGAACGGATTACCAGTCACTCTGACCACTATTAAACAGTACTTATCCGGCCCTGAAAAATTAGTAAAAGAGTCGGATGCGGAGCCAGAATTGCTTAATTTCAGCTACGAATATTTTGAAAAAGAAAAAAAAACAAAATAAAATATCGTCCTTTTGAGCGGTAAAATTCAAGCGCTTTATCCAGGAGCCAGATTTACGGTAAGGATTGTCTGAAATTACGGGTTCAAATCACAGCAAACAAAGCTTGCCCGGCTGCTTTAATATTAGTAAAAATCAAGCCTTATATTCGCTGACACGCGTTTTTTTATTGTTCAGTAATTCTTGCAAATCTTCTTGAGTGCAATAAAATCGGCAAGAAATTTCGTGTCTTTTTTGCAGTTTAAAATCGGCTGAATTAACCCCTTTTTTTTCTTGTTTTTACAACGTGAAATCCGGCCCATTCTAGCTCCATATCCGCCACAGGGGCTAAAAACCGAGAAATTATGCTTACCTTTGCCTCGGTTTTAGTTTAAACGTCCGCTGTTAAAGACGCCATCTGAGCGTTAAATTCTAGAAAGAAACAGCACAATTTCTGTTTAAATATTCAGGGAATTTACTCCCTGAGCATTTGTTAATTAATGTTTTATTTAAAGCATTTTATGATATGCGGCAATTAAGCCAGCGTATATAAACTTTATTTATGAAAATAAAATTACAGCACTTATTAAGCTGTATAGTATTTACCGTTATTTTACCTATAACACTAATAGCGCAAGACTCTACATCAATACAAAAGGATACTATAGCAATAAAAAAGGATACCATAGTAACAAAAACGGATAGCGTAGTAATAAAAAAGTATGCTATAGCAATAAAGAAGGACGCCATAGTAACAAAAACGGATGTCACAGCAATAAAAAAGGAACGCCACAGCAACTCCTTTAAAAAAGGATACTACGATCACTTCTTCGCGTCCTGATAAACCAGTGCTGAAAATTGGAGGCGCATTAAGATTCAACTACAATTTATCTTCCTGGAAAAAAGAACAAGTTAAAAGAGGTGGAGATTTTGGCCTCGACATGTTTCGTATCAATGCAGACGTTGCTTACAAGAAACTAGACTTTCACGCAGAATACCGCTTTTACTCTAAAGATTTTGGAGGAAGCTTCCTGAAAGAAGGTTATGTAAGATATCTTTTCAATGACAGTACCCATATGGATCTCGGACTGGTTCAGAATCCATTTGGAAATACAACCTATAACTCTCATAACTGGTTCTTTAACCTTCCGTATTATGTAGGCTTTGAAGATAAGTTCTCGATGGGTGTTAACTTCCATCAGCGCAGAAACCGGTGGGTCTATGCTATTGCCTTCTTTAAAAATGCAATGGAGCTGAACTTCGGAGACAAATCAGGAACAGATCCATCACGCTATTCTTATGACGTTGCCGGCAGAAATAAAGAAGTTAACCAAGGTAATATCAAAACTGAGTATTTGGTAGCAGAAGATAAAAAAATTGGAATTTCTGGTATGCTTGGCGGAGTATACAATATCCCAACAGGAAGAATGGGAGCCAGGTGGGCCGCTGCATTACACACAGATCTGAGGTTTGGTAAGCTTAATGTGAAGTTGCAATCTATGTACTATCAGTATAATCTATCTGATTCATCTCAGTATAAAAATATAGTACAACTAGCTGCCTATGGTTCATCATACGATGTCGCCCGCAAAGCTTACCTGCATACTGCATCTTTTGCTTATACACAGCCTGTAAAACTGGGCCCGGTAAAGTCGCTTGTCTTTTATGAGAACTACTCTTATATGAATAAGCCACAAGCCGGATTTAAAGATACACAAATGAATGTACTCGGCTGTATGATCAATGCAGGCAACCTGGTGACCTATGTGGATTGGGCCGCAGGAAAAAACCAGCCCTGGTTAGGGCCGGATTGGCAAAACGGATTATCTACAGGTAATCCGGATTCAAAATGGAGTAGCCGGTTCAACATTAATATTGGCTATTATTTTTAACGTAAAACATCTATACTATGTCTAAACTTAAGATAGAAGACCTTACACTCATATTCGGTAAAGAAAAAGAGGAGGCACTCGCACTATTAAAACAAGGAAAAACAAAAGCAGAGATCCTGAAAAAAACAGGATGTACAGTTGCGGTAAAGAATGCTAGTTTTAATATCGAAAAAGGCGAATTCTTTGTAATTATGGGATTATCAGGTAGTGGTAAGTCTAGTTTGCTCAGATGTCTGAACAGGTTAATTGAGCCTACTTCGGGCAGCGTTATTCTGAATGATGTAAATATCACCAGTCTTGGCGACAAAGAATTACAGAACGTGCGTAAAAAGGAAATGGCCATGGTTTTCCAGAATTTTGGGTTGTTACCTCACCGTACAGTACTGGAAAATGTAGCCTTTGGCCTGGAATTACAGGATATCCCAAAAGAACAACGTGAAGCAAAAGCTCAGGAAGTTATTGAAATGGTGAGTCTGAAAGGGTATGAAAATCAGAATACTTCAGAACTTTCAGGCGGTATGCAGCAACGTGTGGGTTTGGCCCGCGCTTTAGCAAATGATCCTGAGATCTTGTTAATGGATGAGGCATTTTCTGCACTGGATCCGCTGATCCGTACACAAATGCAGGATGAGCTGATTGACTTGCAGGAAAAAATGCATAAAACAATTGTATTTATTACGCATGATCTTGACGAAGCGATCCGTCTTGGAGACCGTATTGCCATTATGAAAGATGGTGAAGTGATCCAGATTGGTACTCCGGAAGATATTTTAACTAACCCGGCAGATGAATATGTGTCCTCTTTTGTGGAAAAAGTGGACCGTAAATCAATTATCACTGCGGCCAGCCTGTTATTTGAAAAACCTACAGTAGCGATTTTCAAAAAAGATGGGGTAGAAGGTAGTTTAAGAAAGATGCGTTCTTCAGGATTGACATCGTTGCCAGCTGTTTCTGTAGATAAGCATTTCCTGGGTTTTGTTTATCTGAAAGATATTCTGGAGCTCAAAGCCAAAGGACACCAAACCATAGAAATGGCTATTGTCAAAGACGTACCTGTTGCTTATCCGGAAACTACAGTGGAACAAATGCTTCCATTTATTGCAGAAAACGGAAGAGCAGTGCCGATTGTGGACAGAGAAACTAATAAACTGCTTGGAATCGTTGCACAAACTTCTCTGCTGATAGAGACTACAGGAACTTCCTGGGAAAATGTGACCGGAAACTCAATTGATAATTTACAAAACGAAGTAATATAATATGATACATATAGGACCTTATATAGAAGAATTTATAAACTGGCTTACCAACAATTTTGGAGCCTTATTTAACATCATAAAGATCATCGTGATCTCAGTAGTGGATTCTGTTGAATGGATATTGATGTTCCCTCCATTTTACGTGATCATTTTACTGGTCGCTTTCCTGGCCTGGAAACGTACAGGTTTAGGTGTGACCATATTTACCATTTTAGGCTTAACATTGATTTGGGCAATGGGCTATTGGGGACAAACAATGGCTACACTGGCACTGATTCTGTCTGCTGCGTTTATTGCACTGCTGATGGGTGTACCAATGGGAATCTGGGCTGCCAAGAATCCTTTAGCAGGAAAAATCATGAGACCTATACTCGACTTAATGCAAACTATGCCAGCATTTGTTTACCTGATTCCGGCGGTTTTGTTTTTTGGATTGGGTAAAGTACCTGGAGCATTTGCGACTATCATCTTTGCGATGCCTCCAGCAGTTCGTTTAACTACACTTGGAATTAGCCAGGTGCCTAAAGAAATTGTAGAAGCAACCCGTTCATTCGGTGCTACGCCAAGACAATTGCTCTTTAAAGTAGAGTTGCCTTTAGCCTTGCCTACTATTTTGGCAGGAGTGAATCAAACGATTATGATGGCACTTTCCATGGTTGTAATTTCAGCTATGATTGCAGCCGGTGGATTAGGTGAAGTCGTATTGAAAGGAATTACACAACTTAAAATAGGATTAGGGTTTGAAGGTGGTATCGCTGTCGTGATCCTGGCCATTATCCTGGATCGTATTACACAGTCTTTTGGAAATACTAAAAAGAAAAATATAGCCTAAGCGCAAACTCAGGTATAAAATGCACTCAAAAAGTATTAATGATATTGAATCAAAAAATTAAATCTATTCAAATGAAGAAAGTAATCAGCGGATTATTAATAGCACTGACAGCAATCACACTTTATTCTTGTGGAGGCGCTGCGAACAATAAAAAGGTAACTATAGGTTATGTAAACTGGGCAGAAGGCGTAGCGATGACGCAGTTATCCAAAGTATTACTGGAGAAAGAAGGTTATACTGTAGAACTGAAGAATGCAGATGTTGCACCAATTTTTGCAGCAGTAGCAGGAGGGGACGCAGATGTTTTTATGGATGCCTGGATGCCAGTTACCCATAAAGAATATATGGATAAGTTTGGTGCAAAATTAGAAGTTTTGGGTACTAACTATGCAAATGCACGTATTGGGTTAGTCGTTCCTGATTATGTAAAAGTAAACAGTATTGAGGAATTGAATGCAAATGCTGCACTTTTT